TCCAGTCATTCAACCTGTTCCAAATTTACCTAGTCATCCTACTGGCTTGCTCATGCTCACCTTTTCCATAAGAATAGCACAAGAGATTTTGCCAGATGCTCTGCTAAGATCTGGGGAAACTTCCATTGCATTCCCTTGAGAAAATGAAGAGCCAGCAGATGAGACAGAGGAGGAGTGGTCAGAAAGATAGGTGGAAAGCCAGGAAAATGGCATCCCTAAAGCTGAGAAGCGCATATCCAATAGAAATAATTTCAGATTTGTTGTTTTTTTTTTCAGTCAAGTCCAACTCTTCATGACCTCATTTGGGGTTTTCTTGGCAAAGATACTGGAATGGTTTACCATTTCCTTGTTCAGCTTATTTTACAGATGAGGAAACTGAGGCAATCAGGATTAAGTGATTTGCCCAGGGTCATGAAGCTAGTAAGTATCTGAGGCCAGATTTGAACTCATGAAGATAAGTCTTCCTGACCCCAGGCCCAGCACCCTATCCACTGAGCTACCTAGGTGGGGCAGCCAAAAGTGTCAAAAATCTGCATAGAGGTTAAGGAGGAAATGGACTAGAAAAGCCCTTTGGTTTCTCATAATTAGAAGAAGATTGCTGATCACTTTGGAGAGTACAGCTTCAGTAGAGTGGTGATGTTTGGGACTAGGGAGGGAATTGCCCCTCTGCACTCTACCCTGGTCACAGCACATTGAAGAGAGAGAGGATTATGAGGAAGTGGAAGCCTTATGTAGAAGGCAATTTTTTTCCATCATTTAGCAGAGAGGGGAGCAAAGAAATGGGAAGGTGTCAGGGGGTGTCGGTGGGAAGGACCAAGGGAAGGTCATTTTAAGATTATAGAGATGGGAGTGTGTGTGGAGGCAGATAGAAAGGCAGCAGTGGTAAAGGAGAGGCTGAAAAAGCAAGTGAGGGGATGGCCACTGGAGCACTGAATAGTAGCTAATGTTTATGTAGCACACTGAAGTTTGAAAACACATATAAGTGTGTATATATATGCATATATGTCTACATGTATGTGTAGGTATACATATATACATGTGTGTGTGTTCCTCACAAAAACCTTGGGAGGTGGCACTATTATCATCCCCATTTCACGTATAAGCAAAGTGCAGCCCAGAGTTGCACGGCTAATAGGTGTCTAAAGCAAGATTCGACCTCAGAGCTTCATGATTCCAAGTCCAGAACCCCATGCACTGAGCCACTCAGCTGCCTAAGGTTCTGGGGGGAGGCACAAGGAAATGGGAGGGCATGCAGAAATAGTTCTAGTGGAAAGGGCACTGGTCTGAAAAATTAGGAGGCCTAGATAGTGGGAGACAAGATTGAGTAGGTGGAGGGCAGAGAGTGAGGAGAGTCTGGAGGGCTCTAGAGGGCAGGGAGGTACAATGGTAAAAGCACCTGAATCAGACTCTGGAGACCTAAGCAGGAATCTCAAACTCTGACACTTATAAGCTCAGCTGTCTAGTTATTTTGAGTCTCACTTTCCTCATCTGTAAAATGGAAATAATGACAATAGCACAATCTACCTCTTAGGCTTCCTTGTGTTGTTCTGAAAAGCACATTGATCCATGTGAATTGTAAAAGGCTGAAGCAGCTCCAAAGAGGGGAGAGAGCCCACCCCTGCTGGGCTGGGCTGGGTGGGTGAGAGCCCTTTTCCTGCTGAGGGCTGGGGGCCCTGAGCTGTGAAGGCTGGGGAGGTTCTGGACTGGCAGAAAGGAGCTGCTAGGGAGGTGAGCAGAGGAAAGAAAAAAGGCCTATCTGGGGCTGGGAGGACTTCATGACCCCACCCCCTCTCTCCTCCACCCTCCAAACACCCCCTTCTAGCCCTCCACTGCTGTCTTGGGGCCAAGGCTGGAATTAGGTGGGATTAGAGCCTGAAACTCTTGTTGGCTTGTTCCTTCTGGTAGGTCCCAAGGAGAATCCCAGAATTACAATTAGCTATCAGATAAACAGACTTAATGGAAAGGGGCTGCAGAGCTAATGGGCTCCACAAACATTCAGCTGGTGCTTGGGGAGACCTGAGATTTGCTGGGCTCAATGAAAGAAGGTAGGGAACACAGGTGCCCAATGGTAGGGGCAGCTAGGGTGGCCACACTAGGTAAGGCAACTGGATCTAGGGGCCTAACACAGAGCTACAGAGCATCAGATCTGGATGGAACCTTAGAATGCAGTCAAAGCTGAGACTGTCAGAGCTGGGAGGGGCCTTAGAACACAAAATGTCAGAGCTGGGGTGACCTTGGAACATAGAATGTCAGCTGGGAGGGACCTTAGAACAAGGGATATCAGAGCTGAGATGGCCTCAGAACATAGAATGTCAGAGCTAGGAGGGGCCTTAGAATACAGGATGTCAGAGATGGGGGAACACTTTAGGTTACTGAATGTCAGAGCTAGGATGAGGAACAGAATGTCAGACTAAGACTGGCCCTTTGAGATCATCTAGTCTACCTCCCTCATTTTATAGAGGGGAAACTGAGGTCCACATTAGGGAAGGAACTTGGAGGTCACAAGTAATGCTAATTCACATTAGCATTAGAGCCAAGACTAGAACCCATGTCTCCTGACTCCCAGCCCAAGATCCACCGGCCTATTGCAAAGTCCCTATGTAAGAGCTGTTCCTGTGACTAAGGCCACTGTGCCTCCAGAAGGCCTGAGAGAATGCAAATCTATTCCTTGGGCATGGGAGCATATCAGTGCCCTAACAGAATTGGCCTCGCATGTCACTGAGAATGCCTCTGTTGTAATTCAAGTGGTGAAGCCCCCACCCCATCAGTGCTACTTTTCTCTTGCTTGGATCTTCAGAGGAAGGGGTGGAGCAGGGCAGGAGCTGAACCTTAGAGGCAGCATTGTGGCCTAGCAAAGAGAACTGGGCTCAGTGACAAGACAGGAGTCCCTACCAGTCTCCCTTTTTGCCACTAAAAAGCTATGTGACCTTGTCCTCCTCTTGGGCCCAGAATCTCAGAGCCAGAAAGGACCTCTGAGTCACTAGTCACAATCTGTATGTTAGACTATAAGGTTTCTAAGGCCCCTCAATGCCCTGACATTGTATATGCTATTTTTCCAGACTGACATTTAGTATTCTATATTCTACTGGGGTTCTTTGTTCTTTTGTTCTAAGATCCCTTCTATCCCTGACATTCCAAGTTCTGAAACCCCTCCCAATATAGACATTCTATGGTCTAAGGTTAGCTGACATTGTATGTTCTAAGATCCCTATAGCTTTGAAATCTTGAGAATAAGATTCCCCACCCCCTGCCCAGTTCTGACATCCTATGTTCTAAGGGAAGTTCTTGGCCCTAACATTGCATGTTCAGTGACTTCTTACAGCTTTGACATTCTGTTCTAAAATCCCCCCAGCTCTGATATTGTGTTTCCTAAGGTGCCTTCAACTCAGACATGTGTGTTCTAAGGTCCCCCCAGCTCTGGTATCCTGGGTTCTAAGCACCTTCCCAGCTCTGACATTCTGGGTTCTAAGGTCCCCCCAGTTCTGACGTTCTGTGTTCTAACATCACTCCAGTTCCGATATTCTATGTTCTAAGGTTCTCTCCTTCCCAGCTGTGACATTCCATGTTCTAAGATCACCCTAGCTCTGATATTCCACATTTTAAGATTCTCCCCCTCCCAGCTCTAATAGTCTCTGTTCCAAGCTCCTTCCTAGCTCTGACATTCTACATTCTATGACAGAATGCAAACATAGTAATTCATTGATATTCAGCAAACTTTTATTAAAGTCAGGTCAGGGCTCTCCCCTGGGCTGGGTTGGGATGTGGGCATGAGCAGCAGCTCACGTCCCTCGCCCTCAGGGTATTCTCTGGCTTGTGGGCATAAGACGTATGTGGCTGGGTAGCTGTAATAAACAGGGTGCTCGGTGTGCTAGATGCCTCAGTTTCTAAGACTTGTAAGCTTATCCATCTCCTGTTTAATAGCTACTTAACTCCTATTGACTTGGAATGAGG